GGGAAGGCGACCCAACCCCCTGATCAGCCCTGCTCTGTGCCTGATAGGGGGGAGCTCCCCAACTTCCTGATTGCCCTGCGGCTCTGTGTGTGACAGGGTGCGGCACCCCAACCCCCCCCCCCCCCACGGGCCCTGCTCTGTGTGTGACAGGGTAGAGGCATAACCTCCCCATCAGCCCTGCCCTGAGTGTGACAGGGTGCGGTGCCCCAACCCCCTGATCCACCCCGCTCTGTGTATGACAGGGGGCGGTGCCCCAACTCCCCTATCGGCCCTACTCTGTGAGTGACAGGAGGGAGTTCCTCAACCCCCTAATGGGCCCTGCTCTGTGCGTGACGGGGGGGGGGGGGCAGGGGGGGAGCTCCCCAACCCCCTGATCGACCCTGCTCTGTGTGTGACAGGGTACAGAGCCCCAACCCCCCTGATGGGCCCTGCTCTGTGACAAGGGGCAGCGCCCCAACCCCCTGATTGGCCCTGCTCTGTGCGTGACAGGGGGTGGCGCCGCAACCCCCCCATGGCCCCTGCCTTGAGTGTGACAGGGGGCGGTGCCCCAACCCCCCAATCGGCCCTACGCTGAGTGTGACTGGGGTGGCATCTCAACCTCCGGATCCATCCTGCTCTGTGCATGACAGGGGGCAGCGCCCCATCTCCCCAAGAAAGGAAATAGCTCAAAATTATGGCATCTTCTCAAATCCGGATATAAGTTTCTTTGTGCAGAAGTTGGAGCTGGGAGTTATACAGGCATTCACACTATAGGAATAGTTCTAGAAAAGGCTCCAAAATGTGAATGTGTATAGTTGCCTGTAATGGCTTAAGAATCAGCCTGGGGGAGATGTGTGGTTGAATATGAAATAGGAATTTGTTTTAAGACTCAGACCATAAAGTGAGAAAGCGCATTTTAAAGAAGGCTTGTGGTACGATTTGCCCAATGGCTTCCAAATATTGACGCACATTATAACCACCTGGAAAGCCTGTTTGAGAACATACAGATTCCTAGTATTCACACCAGACTTTCTAAATCAAACCTCTGTGGTGGGGCCCAATAATCAGTACTTTCCGCAAGCTACTCTGGTGCTATTGGCAGTATGCACGGCAGACAGAGGTAAGTCTTGAAGTCAGAAGTAGATTAGGGATTAATGAAATCCCTCGGGGGGGGGGGGGGGCGGGGGCGGTGGAAGAAGAGGGCCTAGACTCTAGGCCCTAGAGAGAGCCAGCAGGCCCAGGAACAGGAAGATGGGAAACAAAATCAATTGTGAGGATATAGTTGATAGGATTTGAAGAATGACTGTTGATTGAAATAAATCATTGATAGTCATAATTAAAAAAGGGTATGATTTAGCCCTGCTGGGTGGCTCAGTTGGAGTATCATCCCATACACCAAAAGGTTGTGGGTTCGATTTCCAGGCACATACCTAGGTTACAGGTTCTATCCCCGCTTGGGGCACATATGGGAGGCAACCAATCTATGTTTCTCACATTGATGCCCCCCTTCTCCTCTTTCTCCCTTCCTCTCTCTCTAAAAATCAATAAACATATCCTTGGGTGAGAATTTTAAAAATAAAACAGGTTAATACTTCAATGATTCAAACATATCTGGAAATGCCCTGACTGGTGTGGCTCAATTGGTTGAGCATGGTCATATCAATGCATCTCTCTCTCTCTCTCTCTCTCTCTCTCTCTCTCTCTCTCTCTCTCCCTCTCTCTCTCTCTCTCTTTTCCTCTCTCTGAAATCAACAAAAATATACTTTTTAAAAAACATATCTGGAAAACTTTCTATGTACTCTCCTATATTTTGGAGCAACTGTGTCCAAAAGAGAGTTACACAGCCTGGAAACAGGCTACAAAATATTTTCACTCCAAGTGCCAAGTAGGACTATGGACAGTAGATGGCACTTTTGTGCTCTGCCTGAAATTTCAATGTTTGAAGTGAATTAATCTAGGAATGATTCGAGCTATAGTACAAACGACCCTTTTTAGTACTCAAGTATATATATCCAGGTTCTGATTTGAGGGATCTGTAAAAGGGGAGCTAATGAAAAGATCAGTTTGCCCTGCCTAGTACTTGGCTTTCAATGATACCTTGCACATTTTTAAATATTGTGAAATAGTGTGGCTCCCATATAGGTTAATAAGTTTGTAGTCTGAGGAGGTCCCTAATAATTACTGCAGCAAGTAGAATTACATGAACTCAAGCACCCTTGAGGTTAGGAAAAATATCCCAAATTTGGCCATATTTCCAAATGTCCATCTGAGCTTTTGCTGTTTGCAAAGGTGAGGGATAGCAAAAAGGAGTAAAATCAAATATGGAAAAGAACCATAGGAAGGGCAGTTTGAAGTAAGAGATGAAGACAGTAGAATGAAAACAAAGCAAAATGGTCTGGCTGGTGTGGCTCAGTGGTTGAGCCACCAGCCAGAGATGCAGGTCTGATTCCTGGTCAGGGCACACACCTGTGCTGTCAGCCCTATCCCCAGAAGGGGTGTGCAGGAGGCGGCCGATCGATGATGTTTCTCTCTCATCAATGTGTCCCTCTAGTCTTCTCTCTCTAAAATTAATAAACATATTTAGAAAATAAAGCAAATGTTACTTTTTTTCTTTTTGTAAAACTTACTCTTAGGCTAAGATACAGAATTCTACATATTTACAATATGGTTGCAATCATGCAAAAGGCATGATGACTTACTCAGTGATTAAGAGAGTGAAGTCTGGAGGCAGCTGTGCCACTTCCTAACTGTGTATGGGGCAAGTAACTCACTGTCTCTGCACATCAATTTCCTTGTCTATAAGATTGAAATGGCAATAACAGCATCTCTATAATAAGATTCTTATGAGGATTAAATGTCAGAATTTGTAAGGTACTGAGAGGAGTATCTGGCATGTAGTGAGCCTACAATGAGTAAATGATGAATTTTATAAAAGTCAACTTTAGGTGATGGGACAATAGGTGATTTTTTTTCTATTTGATTAAAAACATGTATTTTTTGATATTTGGAAAAACATTTAATATTTTTTACTAAAAGACAGAGAAAATCTGTACTTTTGTTTCCTTTTGAGCTAGTTTCTACATCTCCAACTGTTTCTTTTTCTGTAATCTTTTGTACCCCAAATTAGACATATCTTGGCTGTGAGAAATCCTAAGGTTTGGGTTATTCCTCAGAATTCCCAGAATTATTTTTTATTGTAGTTAAATACACATAACATAAAATTACCATTTTAATATGTTTAAGTGTACCGTTCACTGGCATTAAATACATTCATAGTGTTTTGCAACCATCACCATTATCAATTTCCAGAACTTCATCAGCTCAAACAGAAACTTTGCACCCATTGAACAATAACTCCCCATTCTCCCTTTCCCCAGCCCCTGGTAACTCCCATTCCATTTTTCATTTCTATGAATCTACTTATTCAAGGTACCTCATATAAGTAGAATCACAGAGCATATGTTCCATTGTGTCTGACTTAGCATGACGTTTTCAAGTTTCACCTATGTTGTAGTATGTGTCAGAACTTCATTCATCTTTATGACTGAATAACAGTCCATTGTATGTATGTATCACATTTATTTTTCAACTCGTCCATTAAACATGTGAGTTGTTTCCACTTTTTGGCTATGGTGAATAAGGCTGCTATAAACACTGGTGTACAAGCATTTGTTCCAAGCCCCTACTTTCAGCACTTGTTGGTACACATACCTAGGAGGTAACATTTTTAGGAACAGCCAAACTGTTTCCACAGTGCCATGCCATTGTATATTCCCACCAGAATCCAGCATTATTTTTAAGTATGTAAGGCTTAAAAAAAAAAAAGTCATACCTAGATTGGGAATAAATAGCAAAGCTGAGTCTTGCCACTTTGCTGACAAGTTGCGGGTATCAGCACTCTTGATGCATCACCTCCTCTAGACTAAGCAATGTTTCTCATTGTACACAGCTGAGACGCCCATAGCAATCATTAAGGGGCTTATTACATCTGAATGACTCTGATTCCACCCCATATATGATGAATCAGCATCTTTGGGAATGGGGTCCCCTAAATCATCGTAATGTGTGCTAAAATATGAGGCTCAGAAACCTAGATTGTTAAGTGGGCAGGGAAGATATCTCAGTCACCTTTTTATTCCTCAGATATTCAACAAATTTATATTAGAATTAAACTAACACTGCAATCTAAAGCTATTTCCTATCTGCCTAATTGCTCAGTACAGTATTCATTAAAACTAAATTCTATCACATTCAGCAGTTAAACTGTAATTAAGTTATGTAGTATACCTTTCATTTGCATAGAGTATGTATTTTACCAGCTGTGGTCTATTATGCCATCTTATACTGCCAAGAATTCTTATTTTGTATGTAATTTTCCGATGAGTCCTTCATGCTTTGAGGCTGGGTACAAAAGATACGGACTTGGAGTTGGAAGAGCTGTCTCTGTGATTTTTGACAATTACATATAAAATATCTAAGAATCAAGTTTATAATTTGTAAACGTTGGTAACATTTTGTAAGTCTATCACCTGCATACTGTTGCTGAAGTTCGAGTGATATTATGTGTAAAGAAGCTTGCTGCAGAAATGGCTGTAGCTACTATGTAGCCTTAATAATTTAAACAAAACAAAAAGGTTATTCCTACGTGTTGCTAAAGACTAGATATGCTGCTGTATAAGTTGGTTGTTCTAAAACATACAGAAATGAGATTAGAATAGAAAAATAGAAAAACATTAAGTGGATGCACAACATTCACTTAATTCATTCATCACCTTTATCCACAATCTATATTTACATCACGCGGGGCATTGTGTGAAAAATAGTAATTAAGTAAATTTCAATCTGTTCTCCAGAGGCTTAGTTCCTTTGCGCACATTAAAGTCTAGCAAGCTGCTCCCACTTTGATCAAATCTCCCTCCTCCGTCTTAACAAGCAATAGGGAACCCGCTAGAATTCGCGGGCGCTGTCTCTTTAAGGAGTAATAGAACTCCGATTGCATCGATCACAGACTCTTTATTTACCCTCTCGCTCCAAGCGGTTTCATTCCCATCACGGTGACTACTCTCCTTCTGGGTGTCAAGCCTGGAGGGGCGAGAGTGTGAACACATTTTGGCTTTGGCGTGTGGTCGCACCTGACCGTGGGGCGTCCGGCCTGTCAGCTGGAGGACGACCGGCGGTGCCCGGCGCCGCGGAACCTCGGGGCTCGGCTGGCCACGCCTGGAGCGCGGGTGTGACCGGGCCGCCGTTGTTGTAGTGACCGGGAGGCGCCGCCGCTCCCGGCGGACGGTTCCGGGCGCCGCATGGTCCCCCATCGCATCTCATCCCCTTCTTTTCCCCCGTTTCCCCACCCGCAGGAACCGGTAGCCCATCGTTCCCCCCATGGCCTGCGCCCCGGTAAGGACGGGCTGGAAGCGACTCTCCGGAGCCGGTTCTGCGGGCTGCGGGGCCAGGTCCGGGCCGCGCCCCCACCTGCGGGAGGTGGAGGCAGGTGTCCGCCGCCGGGTCCGCAACCGGCCCCTCGCCCCGGGCGCTCGCGTCTCCCCCGCTGCTGCCGGGGCGGCGGGAGCGTCCAGCCCTGGCCCGGCTCGGGACAGAGGCACCGCAGGCGCACCGCCTCCGGAATTCTCCGAGGTTCCCGTGGAGCGCCTGCGTCAGAATCACCGGGAGGTTTTCAAAAAGCGCCGAAGCCGTGGCCCCGCGCGCACCGGTGACCGCGCGCCGCCGGGGGGCCCGGGAGCCCGCATTCCCAGCGCGCGGTCCGGGCGGCTTCTCAGGCCCGCGCGGTTCTGAGCAGCGCGGACCGAGGATGTGGCCGGCTCTGCGGGGGACGGGGGCGCCCCGCGGCTCCCTGTGGGGCCGCCCGCCCGCGGACCCACCGCCCCTGGCCGCTCCCGGGACGGACCCCGCGGGAGGGGACCGCGCGCATCCCCGACCCCCCGAGCTCGCGCTCTGCACCTGCTTTCACACCTTGACAACTTTCCTTCCCAGGAGGACCCCGTTCTGGAGCGGTACTTTAAGGGCCACAAAGCTGCGATCACCTCCTTGGACTTTAGTCCCAACGGCAAACACCTGGGTAAGTTGTATTCGCGCGCGCGCTCTCTCTCTATTTATTTTTTCCTTTTTGTGACGGGCAACGCTCAGCTGGTTGGAAACCTTGCCTGCTGTCCACGCCGGGCCCCCGGGGGACCACCGCGGTCCTAGGTGGGGGGTTGAGGGCGGCCGGGAGCGCGGGGAGCCGGGGAGCGCACGGTCCCGCCGAGGCCCGCGGGCCGGGCCCGAGACTTTCGCGAACTCGCCGCCAGGAGGAGCGAGCGGGAGGGGGAGGGCTTTGTCCGCGCCGGGAGGGAGGGTGGGTGTGGGCCGGGAGTTGGTGAAAAGTTGTGAGCGGCGCGGGAGGAAGTGCGAACGGGACGGGAGCTGGGGCTGCGCCGCGGGCGGCGACGGAGGGCTCGGTGACCCCGGGAGGCCCCGGCCGCCGAGGAGCCGAGGACCTGCCTGCGGGGGAGCAGGGCCCTGCTGGGAGGTGCGCTCCGCCCCGAGCCGCGCACGCCTTGCCCTGCGCCGGCACCGGGGTCCGCGCCCGCGCCCCGGCCATGCGGATCCGGGTGGCCGCGAGGTGGACCTGGGCAGGCAAGAGCTGCCTGCTGCTGGCGCTCCTGACCGTGGCCTACGTGCTGGTGGAACTCTCGGTCTCCACGCTCCATGCCGCCCCGGGAGCGGGCCTGGCCTGGGAGCGGGGGCCGAGGCAGCTCCCGGACCCCGGGGCCGGGGCAGAAGATCTGTCCCGGCCGCTGTACGAGAAGCCGCCCGCAGACCCCCAGGCCCCGGGGGAGTGGGGCAAAGCCAGCCACCTCCAGCTGAGCGAGGCCGAGCGGAAGCAGCAGGAGGAACTCATTGAGAGATATGCCATCAACATCTACCTCAGCGACAGGATCTCCCTGCACCGCCACATCGAGGACAAGAGGATGCCCGAGTGCAGGTCCAAGGCGTTCCGCTACCGGCGGCTGCCCACCACCTCCGTGATCATCGCCTTCTACAACGAGGCCTGGTCCACGCTGCTCCGCACCATCCACAGCGTGTTGGAGACCTCCCCCGCGGTCCTGCTGAAGGAGGTCATCTTGGTGGATGACCTGAGCGACCGCGTCTATTTGAAGGCGCAGCTCGAAACGTACATCAGCAACCTGGAGAGAGTCCGCCTGATCCGGACCAACAAGCGGGAGGGCTTGGTCCGGGCCCGCCTGATCGGGGCCACGTTTGCCACGGGGGACGTGCTCACCTTCCTGGACTGCCACTGTGAGTGTAACTCGGGTTGGTTGGAACCCCTTTTGGAAAGGATCGGCGAGGACGAAACGGCCGTGGTTTGTCCCGTGATAGACACCATTGATTGGAATACTTTCGAATTCTATATGCAGACCGGGGAGCCCATGATTGGTGGGTTTGACTGGCGTCTGACGTTCCAGTGGCACTCTGTCCCCAAACATGAGCGGGACAGGTGGAAATCGAGAATCGAGCCCATCAGGTCGCCCACCATGGCCGGGGGACTGTTTGCTGTCAGCAAGAAATATTTTGAGTACCTTGGAACGTATGACACTGGGATGGAAGTGTGGGGAGGTGAAAACCTGGAGCTGTCTTTCCGGGTGTGGCAGTGCGGAGGGAAACTGGAGATCCACCCGTGTTCCCACGTGGGCCACGTGTTCCCTAAGCGGGCTCCCTATGCGCGGCCCAATTTCCTACAGAACACTGCTCGGGCGGCGGAGGTGTGGATGGATGAGTACAAGGAGCATTTCTACAATCGAAACCCTCCGGCCAGGAAAGAAGCTTACGGAGATATTTCTGAAAGAAAGCTACTACGAGAACGGCTGAAGTGCAAGAGCTTTGACTGGTATTTGAAAAACGTGTTTTCGAACTTACACGTTCCAGAGGATAGGCCAGGCTGGCACGGAGCTGTTCGCAGTATGGGGATCTCCTCTGAATGTTTAGATTATAATGCTCCTGACAACAACCCCACAGGTGCTAACCTTTCACTGTTTGGATGCCATGGTCAAGGGGGCAATCAGTTCTTTGAATACACTTCAAACAAAGAAATCAGGTTTAATTCTGTGACAGAGTTATGTGCAGAGGTTCCTGAGCAAAAAAATCACGTAGGGATGCAAAATTGTCCAAAAGATGGGTTCCCTGTGCCAGCAAACATTATTTGGCATTTTAAAGAAGATGGAACCATTTTTCATCCACACTCAGGACTCTGTCTTAGTGCTTATCGGACACCTGAGGGCCGACCTGATGTGCAGATGAGAACTTGTGATGCTCTGGATAAAAATCAAATCTGGAAGTTTGAGTACTAAAAGAGCACAGCAACACTTTGGTCCTGAGCTGACGGTATATTCAGGAAAGTCAAAGAGCCTCAATGGAGATTATATTTTATCAGAAATCACCCAGTGATCATAGTCTATGAGAGGGCTGTATAACCTGCGGTTCATCTTGGCATAGAACACAAACTGATGCGCAGAGAGCTGCTGTTTCACGTTTGAAAGTGCCTTACTTAGAGGTTGTTTTATTTCAGAGCTCTGTCAGTATGGTTTCTTCTCCTTAAAGAAGTTGACTGTGAATTGAGATATACAAAACATTTAGGTGCCAGATGATATTACAGACTGTAAAAATCCCAAGTAAAATAAGAGATGATTTTTGTGGATGGGTGAGTTCACTGCACATCCCCCCCCCCTTTTTTTTTTTTTACAAACTCTTAAATGTGCAGTTTGAGCTAAAGCTGTTTTGATTATACATAGAATTTGGATATCTTTAGCCAACACATTAACTTTTAGGGTTTGTTTATTTTTCCTAATTTTTTTTAAATGAAATAGAAATCAAAGAAAGTTGATTTTAAGGAGAAAGGCCTGGTTTGGATATGTGTGTCCTTAGAAGAGAGAATTAGTTTGAATGTGAGTTTGGAGGTCTTTTTTTTACATAATTGACATCTCAGAAAAATGTACCCACATTTGAATGAAATGGGGAGATCTTTACATTTCACACTTTGTAAACTTGAGCTATTGGACTTAACTGAGCTGTAGTGATACCTCAAATAGCTTTGATTTCATAACCTGTCCTGTCTGTGAACTTGCTTGTGTGTTAGGGCATTTTCTGATTGCACTTCCTTAAGTTATGAATGTACTGTAGAGGGACTCACTCAGAATACTGTACTTCTTCCCTTTGTTAATGCTTAATCACTTAAAGTAAATACAATTGAGGCCGCTCTGAAGTCAAACCCAACTGTGTTTATTGAAATGTGTGAAACCGAAAGTGGGCCCTGTTTTGCAAAGGCTGTGGAACTCTTCTGTGAGTTCTTGCTGCTTAGGGCATTTCAGGATTAATCTTAAGATAAGGAAAGAAGCCTGTCTTGACAATGGTGAATGCTGCTTCCAGCTTATTTCCACTGAGCCTCGCACTTAGGCAACTTTCCGAAAATGGGAAAAGGACTGAATGAATGAATGAATGGCTCAGCCCAGGAGTGTGACTGGTCAAGTCATTTGACCAAATGACTCAGTTTGGCCCTCACTTTCCTGATCTGTAAAATGTGGATGCTGGATTAGATCGATCCTGAAGATCTCTTCCAGCTCTGAAATGTTATGATTATACATTATATCCGTCTCAGTTTCAATCATTGTGCAATCTTTACAACACTTTTTATCTCTCCACTTTTAACATAGGTAATGTTTTTGAGCAACGTTCAGTCCAGTTATGAAGCTGGGAAAAGAAATGGTTTTATGTGAGCTGAGCTCACCTGCTGCAGTGGTTTATTTTTGGATTGAGTGGAAAGTTGTTGTATTCATTTCATTTTGACAATTGTTGAACCAATTTTTGTTTTTGTCTTTAATCTTTCAAACTGTAAGTAATCTTTTGGGGCAAAGATGTAAATATTTCCCAAACTAAATAATTGGAGAAGTAAACATACTTGAACAAAAGTATTTTTTACTGGTTTTATTGCAATGTTATATCTAGAAATCTAAATTTAGAATTAAATCTCAATTAGTTCACTTTGGCCTAGATTTTTGAAAAATACATGCTTGATAAAGAATTAATCTACAGGCCTTATATGAAAAGTTGTTTTCAGTGTCTACTTAATGACCTAGCAACTTTGCAAAATCTGAATTTAAGAAAAAATTTTAGGATAGTTTTTTCAAAAAGTAAAATTGCTCGGTGTCTTGAATTTTTTTTTTTTTATTTTGCTTCTTAAAATGAAAATGTGTTATTAACTTTCTGTAAGTTATCTGGCAACCTTAAAGTTTACCAGATCCCATGTGCAATTGTGCATGGCCCTGGGTATAATTTAAAGAGGACTTATCATAGTGCTCTGAATTTTACAAAAGGGTTGACTGACAACAGATATTCTCCTAAACCCACCCTCTCCCCATGCTCAGTCTGCTTTTTTTAATTATTAAGTTAGCTTTTCTTTTTTAATTTATTTTTATTATTATTCTTAGCCCCCTATCAAATGGGAGAACTAAAATTGATATATTCTGGAAGTACGTACTGGAATTATTTTTATTCTAGTATCTTGCTGCTCATGTCAAGAGGGAAAAGGAGCATTGAAAAGTAGAGTAGTACTTAATTCTTATTTACTTTTGGTCTAAATTTAGGGCTTTTTGGAAGAAATTTTAGGCTAGTGCTTTATTTACATCAATAATTTGGAAGAGTTAGGTTGTTCATTCCTTACAATCCTGTACATAACTGAAGAATGAGATTTTCAGTTTCGATGCATAGGCATTTCCAATTTAATTAAAAAAACACACTATAAAACTGCAAACAAAATATATTTGGATGCCCTACTTCTAATTTATTGGTACCAAAGCTCTCTTTTGTTGGGGGCAATTAAGAGTTGACCTTTTAAGTTAATTTACATGCTTAACAATAACGTTAGTAAAATATTTGCTAAACAAGTTTCAACTTTAAATGGCCAGTCACTATGTCATTTAGTATATGAGTCTCTGAATAGTTAGACCATCTAACTAGGCAATTTTATAAGTCATTAAAAAAAAAAAAGATAAGCTAGTCATATGCAGGACCTCTATAACTCAAAGTAACTTGTTAATAAAAGAAAATTTGTATTCATTATATGTTGGAAAATCAAGCATTTCTAGATTGAAGACAAGGTTATTTTTAAGTTGTGTAGTCATAGTTGATTTAGGATCTCAATTTGAATTGATAGAACAGTTCTCACTTGTTTGTCTTTTTGAGTTCCTGTTTTAAGAATATTTTTAAATGAGCACAAAGAATGTTGAGATTCAGCCAGGCATGGTTGAGCATCGACCTATGAACCAGGAAGTCCCGGTTCATTTCCCAGTAAGGGCACATGCCCAGATTTCGGGCTCAGTCCCCAGTGGGTGCATGTAGGAGGCAGCTGATCAATGATTCTCTATCATTTATGTTTCTATCTCTCTCTCCCTCTCCCTTCCTCTCTGAAATCAATAAAAGTATATTTTTTAAAAAAGAATGTTGAAGTTCAGATTAATCTGTTTTGAGTGATGAATTTTTTTCTGTGTGATGAGCAGTTTTCATCCTTTTTTTCCCCTTTGTTAATGTATTTGCAATATTGATTAAGACAAAATAAAATGTGTGCCTAATTATTTTTGCAAATGGATTTTGATTGTTATTTTAGTCTATGGGATCACTGTACCTGTATACACGTTTGTTGGTGGTGCAGAAGTAAGTTAAGCTTGTAATTCTTTAACTTAATTGGGAATGCAGACAGTAGACTATAAAAAAGTCAAGTTTTCTATATTATTTTGCAAAGTGTCGTAAACCAGCAAGTATTCTGAAATGGTGTTAGCACTATTTATGCATTAACTACTCAAACAAACTGGGAATAATTAGGGATCTCTCGGACCCACCGAGGGCACTATAAAAGAAAGCAAGTGGGCACCTGTGCACATTAGCACTAATTTCACAGCCCTGGGCTAAAAAAAAAAAAAGAAGAAAAAAAAGTCCTATAAACCTCATTATGTCACACTTTCTCAACCTTCTCTCTCTCATCATCCTGTCCGTATGGGCAATTCCTGTCCAACAGTAGCATCTCTTCTTTAGTGATCCCTGCCTAACACCCTGCCCTCCTGCCTCCACCCAGCCTGACACTGCTGAGAACTACTAGCCAAAGAATTGAGCTTTATGCATCAGGTGTCGTATAGCCACATTGAAGATATGTATAGTTGAGCTAAACATATTTTCACTGATCTCTTGTATTTTATACTGTTTAAAAAGTTGCTATAAATACGTGTGTTATAATCTTGCTTTCTTATGAGATGGCTACAACCCTGTGCAAATCATTTCATGTCTCTGTATTTGTTTCATAAATATGAAAAACAAACGGGAAAATCTATAGAGATGATACATTAGTGGTTGCCAGAGACTGGGGAAGGGAGAAATAGCAAATGATTGCTAATGAGCATGGTCTTTTGCGTTTTGTTTTGTTTTTTGGGGGTGGGGGTCGGAAAGTGGTGGTGATGAGAATGTTCTGGAATTAGATAGTGACAGTGGTGGTACAACTTTGGGCAAAACACTGAATTGTACACTTTAAAAGGGGGAATTTACAGTATGTAAATTATATCTCAATTTAAAAAGTAAACTTCAGGGTAAAAAAGAGGCTGGAGAATTTCATGTGTCCTAGAAAATATTTCTCTTTTCTGTGTCTCTCTGCACACTAGATTTTAAAACAGGCCAGCAGTATTTATTATTAATACTTGAATCATTTTGTGATTTAGTAGAATTGAGAACCTTATATATAATGTGAATCTCCCAGTTAAGTATTAGGCTGCAGTAGGAAATCAGTTGTTATTGGAGTTTCCCCTAAAATTCAGAAAAACCTCAATTAATCCTTTAGAATAGTAGGTAGAGATTATTATAAAAGGCGAATGAGTTCCCGAGGTATACAGTCTGTTCTTGGCAGAATTGAAGAGTAGGGAAAGAATTTGCTAGTAATCGGGTACTACTTTTCCTTTTTACCCAGCTTGGCCTTTCTATCAGGCTGGCCTGGGAGAGAGATCTGCTGCAGGCCTCCTGTCCTCAACTGTCTGGTGATCCTTCTAACCCATTTATTTGTACTTATCTAATCCTGTTCAAAGGGGAATGGGAGGTGCTGTTTTCACTCAGTACTCCTTTATTTAGTTATTGCCACTGTGCCAGGTGCTGGCCCACGCTTGGGTATAGGAAAGGAAGTTGACAAAGCAGGTGTGCCAGAAGTGGTATGAAGAATTCACAGTCCAGTGATAAGAGACAAAGAATAACAAGCAAACACACAAATTATATGCAGGTTCAACTTGGAAACGGGAAAATTAATTGAATGCTGCAAAGAAAAGGAACAAAATGCTTTGAGGGATAACTGTGACAACATACTTAAGTGTACGGGTCAAAAAACACTTCTCTGTGGAAGTTAGATTAAAGTCCAGACCTGAAGGAGGAGTTAGCCAGGCAGACTAGAGAGCATGGTATGGAATAGCATTTAGCAGAAGGATGGGAAAGAGCTTGTCCTCAATCAAGGAAATAAAAGGCAGCCAGCATGGGTAAAGCCGTGCACCAAGAAAGAGAGCTTTGGGAGATGAAGTTGCTCGGGGGAGGCAGAGGCAGCTTGGGTAAGGCCTTGGAGGCTAGGAGGTTATCGTGGGTTAAATGATGGCCCTCCAAAAGATATGCCCATGTCCTAATCCCCGGAACCTGTAAATGTGACAGTATTTGTAAATAAAGGTCTTTGCAAATGCTATTAAGTTAAGGATCTTGAGAAGAAATAATCTAGAATGACCTGGATGGGCCCTAAGTCCAATGATTAGTGTTCTTATAAGACACAAACGAAGGAGATAAGAGAAAGCCACATGAAGCCAGAGATAGAGAATTGGAGTGATTGAGCCACAAGCCAGGGAGATCCCGAAGGCACCAGAAACTGGAAGAGGCAAGGAATCTCTAGTCTTTAGAGCAGGGTGGGGAACCTTATTTCTGCCAAGGGCCATTTGGATGTTTATGACATCATTTGTAGGCCATACAAAATTATCAACTTAAAAAATTAGCCTGCTGTATTTGGTTAAACATTTAATTAACTCACTTCTAATGCGTTGGCAGGGCCAGACCAAATGTTTTCGCACATCTTATGAGGCCCATGGGCTGGACGTTCCCACCCCTGCTTTAGAGGGAGTGTGGTACTGCCAGCACCTTGATTTTAGACTTCCAGTCTCTAGAACTGTGAAAGAATAAATTTCTGTTGTTTTAAGCCTCCAAATTTTTGGTAATGTATTATGGAAGCCTCGGGAAACTAAGAGGCCATTTTTTAGGATTTTTTTCTGAGAGTTGTGGGAAGCCATTGAGAGTTTTAAATAAGGGAATAACATGATCTGATTTATACATCAGATCACTGTGGCTACCATGGGGAGACTGAACTATTAGCAGAGAAATTAAGAGCTATTGTAGTAATATCAGCAGGAGATGATGGTGGTTTTAATCAAAAATGGTGATCTTGAAAGTAAAGAGATGGTCTGGGAAAGAGATTTGGGAGTTATTAGCATACAGATGGTATTTAAAGTCGCGGGAATAGATAAAGTCACCTGGGAAGAACATAGCGCAATGAGGGCAAATGGCCCATATCTGAGTCCAGAAGATCTCCAACCTTTAGATCAGAAGAGGGAATAACAACAAAATCTAAGAAGGAATAATCAGAAAGATAGGAGGGAAAGCCATTATAGTAGGGTATCATGAAAGCTAGGGTCTAGAGTAGGGTAAAAATGTTGAAGAGAATGTAGAAGATACCAAATAGTCATTATTGAGCACTACTGGGCAGTGAAGAAGTTCATTGAAATTAGTGATCATGAATTTACAGTGTTCCCAATCTGTCTGGGGTTGTGTCTAGCATTTCTCACTGGCACAGATATAGTCTCAGAAAAGGCAGAATGATTGGGATTTTGCCAGGCTAGCCTGAAGGAAGGCAGGGTAGTCAAGGGATTGACTGTATGTGTAAGAGGGGAATTGTAAATTGGATAGTTAAACGAAGATGGTAAAAAGAGTCTTAATGGAGAATGTAGGTCAATGGATGAGACTTCCGGATGAGGTGAACAAGTGACCTCTAAGAAAAGCCGAGTTGTCAGAAGGTATGGCAAGTTTCAATTGGTGATATGAGATGTGTTCACGTTCTGCTGGTGACAAGATCCAGGGTGTGAGCACAGAGTTGATTATGGAGGCGGCAAAGAAAGCCTCATTACGCCCTTGGTCTGAAATGTTCTTCACCATCTCACTCTTTGCTTGACTGGCTCCTTCTTACCCTTCATACCCCCACTTAAAAATGCCACTGATCACTCCATTTGAAGTGAGTATTCTGCCCCACACAAAATTCTCATTATGACTTCCTACTTTATCTTCCTACTTGCTTGTTTGTTTTCCTCTTCTCCATGTGAATATAAGCTCAGATTTTGGCTGTTTTGTTACTTAGCACTTCCCCTGACCTACCCACAATGCCTTACATGTCATAGGGGTGAGATATCTGTTGAATCTTCCCTATAATAATAAAAGTGTAATATGCTAATTAGGCTGGCTGTCCTCCGGGGCTGCTGCCTCGGCCCTCGGAGCCCCTTGCATAAATTTTGTGCATCAGGCCTCTAGTGAACTAATAATATCAAGTTTGGAATGGAGAGGAAGACTGTCCTGCAGTAGGTGAGGTGTGAAAGAGAAAATAGTTGTTGCTTGAAAGGGTTTCGGCAATCTTGGTGTCACCAAGCAAGGTTAAGGTTTAAGTAGTTAAGGACAAGGAGGGTCTACTGGTAACTTTTGGGAAGGAGAGAAGGCATGGTGTCAAGTTCAGCTATGGAGATACCTAGCGCATTATGGCAGTGAGAGTACATGATCATTGATGACCAGCGGGGCTTAAGGCTTAAACTTCTGCTCATGATTGGAGAAAATAGAACATGAAGCATGATGGATTTTTAAAAAAACTTTAGTCTTTAGAGTTGACACACAATGTTATATTAGTTTCAGGTGTACAGCATAGTGATTAGATATGTATATACCTTACATAATATTACAGTATTATTGACAATATTCCCTTAACTGTATTTTACATGATTAATTTCTTCTTGATAGCCTTTTCTGGGTTTCACAGGATAGGTTGAGAGGTGATCAGAAGAGAGAGAGGATGGGAGAAAGCAATATCTGTGAAGTGTTATCATCCCTTTTTATGGATGCAGAAGCTGAGAGTTCAGTAACTTTCCTGAAGCTGTGAAGCAAATGAACAGCAGGGCCTGGCTGAGCCTTGTCTGGAGCCAGACTCTGGGGGCACACTCAAGTATACAAACATTAGAAGAGTTTAGAAGTATTTTCACAAAGTTTTCAGAATCCGAGCTGCACTTCAGAAGTTTCCATTTAAAATTATAAAATTTTAACATTGAAGTTGTCAGTTTCCCCCCTTTTTTTCCTTCAGAGTTACCCTGATTGATTCAGTCACTGTTTAACGTGCATGGGTTGTTTGTAGAAGAAATGATTGTAACAAATATGTTAATTTTCCCTGTTTCTGACTGAAAAGAAGCAGAATTAAATTTGGAATTTTTAAGTTATTTTCTTATCATGAAACCGTAATAAAAGTTTGCCAGAAATTCTTTTTCTAATATAGTTGTTGATGGCAGCCATGTAGTGCTTGGTTGAAGCTTCTCTTGTTGTTACAGTTTTAAAAATTACTCCAAGTGCTAAAGTAATCTTATGTTCTCACTGAGAGGTTGTAGCAGAGTGCAGTATTTCTCAAATTTCGGTAATATACACCCAAAGAATGTAAACAACTAGAAGTATGCATTTTCAGGTCCCCAGTAATTCTAATGGAGATAATCCGTAAGTCCCCAGCACTTTGAGAAACACTGATAAATGAGAAACATTAATAAATGCCCAGGCTTTGGAGTCTGATAGCCTCCAAAGTGGAGCTCTACTACTTTCCTTCTATGTGACCTTGGACAAG